TTGTTGTTTGGCATAAATCTTTTTGGAGTTGACTAAAGACTTCTTGAAATTTCAAGTGGAACATACTAACTCAAGATTGAATAAAACATTTTCTAATGATGGCTTGCTCTCAATTTACAACAATCCACATGCTTGGGCCTAAACATACTCTACCATCACTATTGGGGCAATGAGAACATGCAGTTTTTCTGCAAAATAATACTTGGTTCGTCCCTGAGTGTTTGTCCACTTTTGACTTTTGGAACTGTTCATCTAAGCACTTTGACTCATCAAATTCTCTCAATGTGTAAGCCTAAAAATAGTCATGTGTGATCTTGTTTGATTCGTCTTAACATATAGATTATTAATATATAATTTTTTAATATACAAATTACAAGATAAAATGGATTAAAGAAGTGTATTGGATGGTGTGCAAAAATGAAAGTGGACAAACACTCAAGGACGGAAGGAGTATTTAGTACGGAGTATATGTTATATGAGTACGAGAAATCATTTATTTTTAAATGTTGTTTGAGGTCTGTCTGCAGATCATTGAAAATTTTAAGTTGGAGCGAAGAAATTGTATCTAGAGTTGTACCACTAATGTACTCCGTAGTTTACAAAGATGCAATTTCAAAATTTATTTTTTATTTAAATTTTATGTTTTGATGTTATGAGAAATTTTTAGCCCTATAAATTGCACAACACTTCAATGTTTAATTAAATACAATCCCCGTCGTAAAATTAACTTCCTATTTTACTTTACGAGATTTGACCAAAGTTATTTTTCATTCAATTTATTTGATTCTACGTGTAAAACTAAAAAACAATCATGTATTTAAAAACTATATCAAATATTCTACAAAACTAGAGATAACATGACTAAATTTTTATCAAATAATAAATAAAAATAATTAAAGAAAGCAAATAAAGTTTGACTAAATTGATAGTACGTATAAAATTAGTTTAGAATAGAGGGTATAACTTTAGATTAAAAAATGTCAGTCGTGCAATGCACGAGTGTGATATTAGTGGATGTAGTACTCTTGTAATTTGTATAATCGGGATAATAGTAAATACATATTGTAGAAAGGTATCGGAACCTAAAATCACAAAACTCTAATTCATCTCCCCCCTCTCTCTCTCTCCCTCTCGGCTCAAAAGTGCCCCCCCCCTCCCTCACCGCCGCCGTCTCCTGCGGCTGCTTAACCCACGGCCAAGCCAACTTTCCTCCACACCGGCGACCTCCCCTCCTCCTCCCAACCATGGCCGAAATCAGTGAAGTCACTTATCAAAATATCTCCTCCAAACCTCCCCATCTTGCATTCACAACAGTATCTAATGTGAAACTCCATGTCCCCGTTCAACTCAGTCTCTCTCAACCTAATTACAAAAAGTGGAGCCGTTTGTTTCTTCTCCTAGTTCGGCGGTTCAATCTTCAGGGCTACATCAACGGCTCCGTCGTCCCCCTCTCTGACGACGATGACGAATGGTTCCAACTCGATGCTCTTCTCCAGGGTTGGATACTCTCCACCATCACCGATGAAGTCTCAGATCTGGCCATCTCCTCTGTTTCCACTGCCTCTGCTCTCTGGAAGGTCATCCACGACTTGTTCCACGACAACAAACATGTCCGAGCCATGCAACTGGAGCATGAATTCCGTACAACAATCAAGGGCAACTCTACCATGGCGGCCTATTGTCAACAACTGCAGAATCTTGCATACTGGCTGGACGATGTTGATGCACCAGTCTCTCAACACCAGCTCGTTCTTTAGATGCTTCGTGGACTCCCTCCTGCAGATCTTCAGGCCCAAACAGCATTCATGCAATTTCAGGATCCCATGCCGACGTTTCTACAGGTCCATTCCGCCCTCATGCATGCTTCTGGATCGACAACGAATGAGCTCCACCAACTCGGGCACCACGACCCTACTCACCAACCGCGCCGGCGGCACTCACGGCGGTACTCCCGGCGACTATGGCGGACAGCATGGCGGCTCCAGCTATGGTGAAAGCAACCCCGGGCAGCGTGGAGGCTATGGACGAGGACAAGGACGTGGCAGCGGAAATCGGGGTTGAGGTAGCAGGCGTCAAAACAGCTGAAGGCAACGACAATCCCATGACGACAATAATACCTGGAACTCACCTTACCCTAACCCTAACCCAGGTCTCCTAGGCCCATGCCCCACACCCCCTCCCTACCCCGCCCACACACACTACACCCTAGCCCCATCCCCCGTCCCACCCCCCTCTCCAAACCCCTACTCGACAGCCCCCTCCCTCACCCCAGCCCCCTTCCCGTACCACCCCACCCCCTAGCCCTACCCGATAGCCCACACCCCATCCCCCACAGCCATGGTTCATCACATTGATACTATGTCCCTCCGTGAACCCACTTGGTATATGGACACCAGTACATCTCATCACATCGCCTCTGACCCAGGTACTCTTTCTCATGTTAATTCTCAATCTTTATATTCCCCACTCTATATTACTGTTGGTAATGGATCTAAAGTTAGCACTACGGCTGCTCGTAGGTATACCATTCCCACCACCCCACCCCTGTCCCTAAATAATATTCTTGTTTCCCCCCACATCACCTACAACCTTATCTCTGTTCGTCAGCTCACCCGCGATAATAACTATACTATTGAATTTGATGCTCATGGTTTTTCTGTGAAGGATCGTCGGACGGGCACCGTGATACATCGATATAATGATATGGGACCTCTCTACCCCCTAATGATATGTTGAGACATGGAACCGGCATTTAGGCCACCCCAGTCCAAATGTTATCCGTGGTGTTTCCTCTCTTCCTTTTTTTAAAAGTTATCAACATTCTTTATGTCATGCATGTCAATTGGGAAAACATATGCGCCTCCCATTTCATTTTTCTAGTCGTATTTCAATGTTTCATTTCCAACTTTTACATACAGACTTAGGGCGGTCTCTTGTTCCAAGTATTACTGGTTTCAAAGGAGTACAATGTGACAATGGAATAAAATATCGTAGCTCTCATCTTAAAAATGTTTTTGACTCACTGGGCATTCTATTTCGTTTCTCTTGTCCCCACACTAGTCAACAAAACGGACGCGTTGAGCGCACTATTCGCACCATCAACAACACCGTCTGCTCTCTCCTCTTCCAAGCCCAACTACCACCCACCTTCTGGGTTGAGGCCCTACACATGACAGTCCACATCTTTAACATCCTCCCCACCACCCCTTTAAGAAAGAAACATGACATTGCCCGGATCTAGGAACAAAACAAAGAATGTCAAGGATCTTCAATCAAACAGACACCTCCAATAGCCTTCTCTGTTCTTCTTTGACGTCAGCAACTACAAGCGCACGTCAACCCTTTCTCTATTCTCCAACGACGTCATCAGCCACCGACGCACGTCAGACTTCTCTCTTCTCCAACAACGTGAGCAGCCACCGGCTTACGTCGGACTTCTCTCTTTTCTAATGACGTCAGCAGCCACTGGTGTGCGTCAGACTTCTCTCTTCTCTAACGACGTCAGCAACCACTAGCACACGTCAGACATTTTCTCTTCTCAAAGTTTCCAGTTTCCAGCTAGTGTCCAAGCTTCCTCTTGCTTCAACCAGAGTTTAGCTTGAGGGGGGATGTTAGACAATAATACTATAACTTCTGGTAGAATTAGTTATGGTAGTGTTTGATTATAAGTCAATTTCCTATTCCTATTTAAGGTAGATGTTATGTTTTAGTTAGTTTTCATTCTCTATTTCTAGTTGTGTTAGGAATCTCTCTTATATATATACTCTATCATGTACTTCATAATTCAATAGAGTAATATTATTATTCCAAGATTTCAACACATATAAACTCACAGTTTTAGTCATTATTATTATTATTATTATTATTATTATTATTATTATTGTTGTTGTTGTTGTTGTTGTTGTTGTTATTGTTATTGTTATTGTTATTGTTATTGTTGTTGTTATTATTATTATTATTATTATTATTATTATTTTATTTTTATTTATTTATTATTATTATTATTATTATTATTATTACTACTACTACTACTATTATTATTATTATTAAAATTATTAGTAATGTTGTTGTTGTTGTTATTATCATTATTATTATTTTTATTTTTATTATTACTATTATTATTATTATTATCATCATCATCATCATCATCATTAGTGTTATTATTATTTCTATTACTTCTCTATCCAAGTTGGCCTTTTCTCATTACATGTTACTATACGAGACTTGATCGATTTTATTTTTAATTTCATTTATTTGATTTTACGTGAAAAATTAAAATAAAATTATATATTTAAAAATTAAATAAAAAAATCTACAAAACTAGAAGTCATTTAACTATATTTTTTATCAACTTAATAACAGAAATAGACAAACAAAGTATATAAAATTTGACCATGTTAATAATATACGGGAAGAAAGATATTGGACAGAGGGAGTATTATTTTTGTTGTTCGTTCCAATTTTCTTCCAATTCTTTCAGTTCTTTCCAGTTTCTTCTAATTTCTAGTTGTTCCTTCTAGTTTGTTCTAGTTTCTTCCAACATCCAACTTTTTTTTTTCTGTCCTAAAGAGCAGACTCTTAATTGACCACTCTCTAGCAAAAAATCATTTTTAAGAAATAAATTTAAAATACTCCGTATGAAATATGAAATAAGTCATTCAAATGAGTTTGTAACTAATTCATATAAACAATGCTCATATAAAATTTAGACAATTTCCATACCCTAGTACTATTTCTTAATGGGGAATTTACCTAAATAGTACTAAAACATAGTGACTTTCCTAATGTAGTACCATATATTTTTATTTTCCAATGTAGTACTACTATTCAATATCCACTAGTCATTGTTCAAGTAAATGTCCATCGTCATTGAACATTGTTCAAACTAAATATCCACTATCATTGGACATTGTTCCCGGCACTAGGCATTATTCAAATACTATTTAGGAAATAAAAAAGTTTAAGTATTACATTGAAAAAAGAATATTTTAGTACTATATAGCACAAATTTTACTTTCTTAATTGAATGCGAATAGCGAACTAATTTCGGACAAATAAAAACAAGAATGCGTCCCCTTCCAAACCGGCCAAAACACACCAAAACACCAGAAACCCAACTCCCGAACATGGCCTTATAAGCTAGAGATGAAGCTTATTCCTATGGTTAACCAAACTTTAGTATATGAAAACTACATGACCAGAAGAAAAACAGTTAGTACATCACTGTCTTTGAGACTGCCTCTCTCTTTTTTTCTTTTCCTCTTTGAGAGAAGAGCTGGATGGTCCTTGAAACAAACACTTCCTTGGGACGTTTTAAGGTCATTAGTGAACTCAGTGTTATCTCTAACGTCTTCCTCTCATCGAGTAATCTTTGACGATGGAGGGGGCAAAAGCAAGTCAATCATATCTTTACCAAGAAGACACGGAATGGTTTTCGGCTTATGAGGAAGAGCCTCACATGCATCTTCTTCATTCCCGGTTAACTGACAATTACAATTCACCTTTTTGATCAGCTTTGCCTTCTTCAGTAACTCATTTACAAGGTGTGGGGAGGGATCAAGATTTGAAAGAAAAAGACACCTACAAATCAAACAGAATATAAATGGAGAACAAAAAAAAACTCACCTCTCTAGCGATGGTCAACAAATCATCAGCAGTAAGATCTTCATCTTCACTGGAATACTGCTTTCCAAAACATGGTGGTAAAAAACCGTAAAATATCATAGCATAGCATCCCAAATTCTAGTATATACGGAGTAAAAAAAGTTGTATTTTTAACTTTGCCAACAAGGAAAGAGTAAGAGTAAAAAAACATAAGTAAGATTACCTCATCATCTTGTGTTTGTGGCAAACATTTATTTTTATCAGTGATCTCAATCACAGAGTGCTTTGCTTTTGCTCCGTGTATTCTAACAGGAGGAGGCTCGGCTTCATCAATATTTTTTGTCTCTAAGTAATCATTGTAATCTTCTAAACTTGTCTTTCGCCAGCTTTTCTGTGTTCCTTCATCTACTTCCTGCTTCAAATCCTTCTCATCATCCCTGCTTTTCTGCGTTCTGAACTTGTCTTTCTCCAGCTTTTCTGTTTTCACATCTTCTCTTTTGATTTCCTTCTTCACTGCTTTTCTATCGATATTTTCGCCGTACTTTGCGTGCCTAGTTTTGGGTTTTTTCTTCAACCCATCCTCTGCATTTTCACCCCCATTGGTTGAATCTTTAATTCTTGGTTTCTTCTTCACCCGGCCATCATTTGCGTCTTCCGGTTTGAAATTCTTCTTAACCTCAGCTTCATCTTCTTCTTCACCATTACTGGAATCTTGGGTTCTGGATTTCTTCTTTTCATGATCCGCGACAGGCATACAATGCATCCATTGTGGCAACCGCCTTTTCACATCCATTTTATACACTCCGCATTTTTTCATTTCAATTCTCACATCTTCAATAAGATCAAAAGGAATCCTCCATTGTATAAACATCGAAATAAAAAAAGATACTCCGTACTATACAAATTTTAGGAAGTCCTTCAACATCAAGCTATTAGGTATGACATTATATTATCACAAAAACCTTCTTATGAAAGTTTTTGGCACACAAAACATTACAACTAAGGTTTTTGCACGAATTTACAGTTAATTAATCTTAAACTAGTTGGAATTAAGGTGTTGAAGATGTTGAGGACGATTTTGTTTATTTTTGTTGTCTTCCAAAAATCTTTTTTTATATTAATTATCTTCAACTACTCAAGATTTCTCCATTACTATGAAAATAACAACACAGACGCATAGCCCATTTAAAAATTCAAAAAAAATAATCAAGATCAAATAAGAACGAATAGTGGAAACCACAAATTAAGATCAAATAATACAGCCCAGCACAAATGGATTCGTAATTGCAAAAATATATACTAAAGCCACAGCAATTCAAAATTAGGGTACCATCGAATTCAAACGGGAAGCTTGAGAATAATCGAACTGCTTGTTTTTTATGCACCGGGGAAGAGATCGGGAGGCGGACACACCGCGTGGGGGAGGTAGAACCGATAAGAGGTCGGAGACGATGACGGGGACGGCCGGAGTAAGGTCCCTTGATATTGTTGTCGTTTGAGAAAATGGACAGTCTTAACCAAACTTCAAATCCTTTTACAAAAATCTTTGAATTTACATAATTTTTTCACTAATACTATGTTTGGTTCAAGGAATTGAAGAAGAAAGGAAAATGATAAGAAAAAGAAAAGAAACTCAAAATTCTAATGTTTGGTTAAGATGAAAATTGAGGAAGAAAATGTATTCTCAAGCTCTTTTTATTTGATTAGAAGGGAATTTGGTGGAATTGTGCAGATCTATGACAGTGTGAGGTCATGGTTGTATAAAACAAAAGATGATAAATCCATCAAAGAGGAACTGGTGGGAAACCTGGAGCTACTGGAAGGGGAGCTTTGGGAAGGGCAATATTTTGGTGAGGGGATGATTGGGTTTTAGAGACGGGAGAGATGGGCCATATTTTGGTGGCGAGAAGACATGGAAGAGACAGGAGCTATGGATTCTCTCGTTTTCCGTCTAAAATCGGGAGAAAATGATTTTGCCCTTTTTTTAATTCATTTTCTCTCCACTTTTCTTTTCCTCTCACTTTTCCTTTCCTTTTCTCACTAACCAAACATAAAAAAACATTTCCCTCCTATTTTCTTTTCTTTTCCCAGCCAAAATCCTTGAACCAAACATAGTGTAAAAGTCTATTTTCCGCCTACTTTGACGGGGACTTTTCTTTTTTTTCTTTTCTTCCACTCCTTGCCATCGTCACACCACGTCAAAGTAGCCAGAAAATCAACCTAGTCAGATTCGGTGAGACCAACGCAGTTCTCTTCGTCTTGAGATGAGGATCAAGAATATCAAAATCATTTTGTCCAATTTGGTCTGCAACTCATCGAATTTGAATTTTTCCACTCAAAAAACCATAAATCTGAAATTAGGGGTTTTTGCAAATCGTCATCAAATCTTGCAATTGAGGAGTCCTTAGGGGTCGCTGAGATGCCACGAACACTTTGGAGGGGATAAGCGACATCAATTTTGCCGGAAGTGATCGGAAAACGTTCCAACCCGCCGGAAAACGCTCCAACCCGGCGTTTTCTGGCCACCTCCGAATTGAAGAAGCCATAATAACAAAAGGATCTCTCAAATATGGAGTACAATTTAACAAAAATTAAAGAGGAATTACAAACTAAAGAAGAATTATGGAATCAAATTTGAAGAAAAAATACATATCCTAGATTAAGAAAAAAGTTGAAGGTACTAGGGCTTCAGATTTGAACTTGAAGCCAAACAACCTGCACTTGCACTTGCTTGCCATCAAGGAAATCCAGCGGTCAATGGAGTCGGCCACACTCTCTGATGACCGGAGCAAGGCCAACTTCGTGCTCCAGATTGCCTTCTGATGGCTCAGCTCGAGGATGAGTTCTAGAGCATCCTAATTGTTCACTCCAACCGTATCTGACCAGATACATTGCTCGATTTGAGCTCTTCCTCTTCCAACATCGGCAGGTAGGGTCACAATGTGGTGGTGGGACGGTGCCAGAATTGGCGGTTCAAAAATCAGAATCATACTGGAACCTGAATATGTCCATTGCTAGCTAATACTACCTCCGTCCCACTCTCTTTGTCCACTTTTGACTTTTGGAACTGTTCATCTAAGCACTTTGACTCATCAAATTCTCTCAATGTGTAAGCCTAAATATAGTCATGTGTGATCTTGTTTGATTTGTCTTAACATATAGATTATTAATATATAATTTTTTAGTATACAAATTACAAGATAAAATGAATTAAAGAAGTGCATTGGATGGTGTGCCAAAAGGTAAGTGGACGAAGAGAGTGGGACGGAGGGAGTACTATATTGTATCACTTAAATTCTATTTGCTTGCGTGATATTATATACTTAATGGTGAATTAAGAATTTATCTTTGTGTATATTCAAAGCGTTAGACACTCTAAATCTGATTAACTATTGAGCGTGCAATTGTTATTTTTTACTACACACAGAAGGTTTAGGTTAGAGATAAAGTTAAAATCGGAGGATAGTGAGATGGAGGAAATGTAAAGATAAATGACTAAATAATTAATTAATGTATTAGATGGATTTCTAATATGAATAGTTTTCCATTTTTTTCTATCATTTACTCCCGAAGTCTTCAAAAATAATGCAGATTCTCCTCTGTAGATGAGAGAAATTATATATATTTATATTTTCCTCTCATTTTTCTTCCTTAAAACAAATGAAAGTATTTTAAAAAATTGTGTTTTCTTTTTTCTTTTCTTTTCCTCCTTTTCTATCCAACAAAAAACAAATGAAAATATTTTTAAAAATTGTGTTTTCTTTTTTCTTTTCTTCATCTCCTTTTCTATCCAACCAAACAAAGATGAAAATATGAAATAGTGAAGAGGAAAGGAGAGTGAATGAAGTAAAAAGATTTGTTTTTTTTTTTTAATATTTTGAGTAAATCTTGAGGTCGTCCGGCAAAGCAAGTAGTGAAGGGACCAGTAATTGCAGGCTGTATTGATTATACATCGCCTCCAAGTCTCCAACAAGCTTTTTCAATCATTGATTTTCTTTTCTTGATTTCTTTGTTTAAACGTTCAATCATCATCGGCTTCGCCGCCTCAACAGAAACCCTAACCTCTTCAAACCTGGATCATATTCGTTGATTCAGGCAGCTGTACAGATTCTGTAGTCAAATCCAATTGTTTGGGATCATATTACTGGAAATCATAATGAAAGAGAGAAAATCGGCCAAGGATAATCAGCACCAGCAGCATCACTACCACCAGAATGGTCACTTGTCTCCATTTAAGCTCGCCAAGTTGTTCGATCCTGACGCTTCGTGGGACAAGGTTCTAAATTTGGATCTCTCTCTCTCTCTCTCTTTGTTTTCTTCTTTCTTAATTTGTTTGTGTGGATTACCATCAAATTGGTTTTTTTTGTTTGTTTATTAGTGTAGTTGAACTTAGCATGTACAAGCTCTTTGTTGGAATGTTTTAAAACTCTTAATTGTTGTTTTGATGAAGAAAATGGTGAGAAAGATACCTTATAGAAGACTACTTGTAATTTCTTTTTTCTTCGGCGGGGAGCTTATTTACTAGACTGCGTATAGAGATCAAAAGGGATTGGACTAATTTTTACATGTTTGTTGTGCTAGTGGAGACTTTTCTTAAATACCAATCTATGGATACCGATTTGATCGATCTGTGTACTCATTTTGTTTGGATCCAAAGAAAAGTCTATGGAGAGCAATCACTTCCGGAAGCATTTGTATTTTGCACTCCGGTAGTTAGTAACTTATACAGCATTGTATTCAAGTTTGATATTTTACCAGATTAAAAGTAGAATACAAGTCTATTATAGATAATGCATTAGACTAGTTGTTCGGGTGCAAGTTGTGTCTAGTACCGAGTGTTTGTTTTTTAAAGATCTGTTTTTCTTGAAAAATTATTCATGTGTCGTGCTGTTTGTATTTACCGTTGAATATTCAGGTAATAATTACTTCGTTGCAGGATCAATTGGGTGATGTATTGCATTGGACTAGACAAGTTATGGCTCTTGTTTGTGGGTTGATTTGGGGAGCAATTCCTTTAGTTGGTGGCTTCTGGTTTATGTTGTAAGTTTATTCATAAATAGTTTTCACATCCTCACAAACTTTGTTGCTAAAGCTATAGTCTTTAGCACTACCATGATTAGTTTTCTTTATTGGGAAGTCTTAGTGTTAGAAGCTTCCAAATTATGGTCTGCATCTGTTAAGGGCACACGTACATGCCCTCATCTAGGGCTGGAGGGTGGATGCCAGAAACGGACAAGGGGGGTTTGCCGTTGGTGGCACTATGGGGGCTTGGATTACAGTGTCTTGCCTTTGGCAGAGAGAAGGCTTGGCCTTGTCTAAGACACCAAAATAGTACGGAGTATTCCAAGTAAAAGCTCTGTATTCCATCCTATAATCCTTATATAGGAATTACTAAGTCGTAGTAGTAAAAGGAGACAAGATAATAAAAAAGACTTCCCTACCCTATACATTCTACAACTATGATTAGCTAACGAAGAAATTAGAGGAAACACAATAATCATACAATAAGCTTCCAAGCGTGTGGCTCATTCATCCCGCCTTTGCTGGTATGCACGGCTGAGAGAAGCATCCATTACTGGAACAGTCTTCTCCATGCACAGTTTAGTACTTAAGCCTATATGTGTGTAGATTCAGTGAACATATTGGTAAAAGAGGCCTCGTTATTTAGGTAGGCCCGCTCCAGTATAATAAGTTATTTTTCATTCAATGAGCCAACAATTTGTTTTAATTTGTACTGCTACATCTCTCACACTTAGAGATTAAAAGGAGAAATGAGGTTGCTTATTATAATCTGAAGTTTAGTTTATAGAACCAAAGCCCTACACAATCGATCAAGTAGTGTTGTTTTCCAACGGTTTTCAAAATTTCTAAATGCGTGTTAGGAGATGCTTCTTGTGTATTTTCAGTTTGACTCAGTCAAGCCCTTTTAAAACCAAGTTACTACCTAAGTGCTCAAAAAAAGAGTCGCATTTCTTGAAGGTATAGCTTTTAACTTTTGATTAATGCACAACACTCACAAATTATCAATCTTAGTATTTTAAATTTCTTTGCTTATTCAACGATGTTAAAGCGTTTAACATACTTAGTCAATTAGTGGTTTGTAACATCCCCCCCCCCCACCACAAAAAAAAAAAAAAATCACACTGAATTCATTGAGAAAGTAATGAGTCCCTATGTGAACCCCAATGAACATCTACGTACTATGGACATTTATTTGGTTTATGTGCAAAGACCACTTATTTCCAAATGTGATGAACAATGGCTAGACTCCCCATGCCCATGAACCCCAGCTCACCAACTCATNCATTATGCATTCTGTGCATCATCCAACATTTACAAATATTGGACATTCATAAGATTTTCCCAAAAGTTTATTTGACATTGTAATGCATGTTATGTTTGGTAAATGTGCTCTAATCTTTGCCCCCCCCACCCCCCCCCCCCCCCCCCCCACACCCCCATACACTAAAAAAAGAACTCATATTATAAAGAAATAAGCAAGTTATCCGTTTTCAGGTTTCTTGTGTTATCGTCTGGGATTATCTACGGTTATTACGCACTGGTACTGAAAATTGATGAAGAAGATTTTGGTGGTCACGGAGCTCTCCTGCAAGAAGGGCTTTTTGCTTCTATAACACTATTTGTGGTATCTAATCTCCCTTTTTTCATGTTGTGACACTATTACACAGAGTATAATACTGCAGATAATCTACCTTCATTGTCGCCCGTTAATCATCTCCATTTCTTGTTTTTTTCAGCTAGCGTGGACTCTGGTATACAGTCTATCTTATTTCTGATCCTACTCGGCCTGGTTGTCAAGTCATGGCTTTACCCGAGGAAGAAAAAGGCTA